TGATCTCGCTTTCAAATTTTTCCGGCTTCAGTGATTTCCTTCCTTTACCTGGAAGAACACCCGTTTCGTTTGTTGGAGTGCAGTTTTAAGCTTTTGAGTTTAAGATTCCCCTTACAGGAGATGTGAAGGGACAAGAGCTCTCACCGCCAAAGTACTCCTCTGCGCTCCCCCCCCCCCCAAAGACACAGGGGAGCCCTGGGCCAGCTGATCTGGCCGCAGCTAAAGGGACAGCAGGTTTGTCCACCCCAGAGGAGCCTTTCTAATCCTGCCGAGATAGAGCTCATTAGGAGAAGATAAAGACTCTTCCTGCTCGTCTCGGCCTCAGCCAAGCATTGCGGCCTGGCGCCGCTGCCTCTTGACTTCCACAGCGTCGGGTGTAATGTTACTGTTTGTTGTCAGTGTGTACACTAATAGTCCATTGAAATCAGCATCAGCCTTAACCTGCGCAACACACACCTTGCGTCTCGGGGTTAGCCAACCACAGGTATATTACACACAGTACACTCACGCACACACATTCTAAATGAGCATACAATCCAAACAAACAAGGGAGAGCAGCCTGCAACTATATTTCAATTACGTAACCTTGCTTTATGTTAAATCTTGTGGTTCATTGGTTCTAGGCCCTCTGTTTTCCCATTGTCATCTAATTTATTATCTTTAAACTTTTGATCACTGCAGGCACGCAGCCTGGCCTTTTTTTTCTTTCTGCACGGCTAAGGTCCAGTCAGATTTCGGTCCTTCATCTGCTAAACAGATTGCGAAGGATACAAGAATCCAAGACAATCTGATACAAGATATCCCATATAAAATGCTTCTATAAGCAGTATTTCTTTCATACTGCTTTAAAAAAGTAATATTATCCATAAGGTTGGACGACCAATGACTTCCCTCCTATACAGTTCAGCAGGTTGCCAGCACAAATACTGAGGACCACAATGGCATTTGGCTGTCATTCTGCGAGTCAAACAATGCCATTCCCTGGTTGCCTACAGAATATTTTTAATCATATAAAATCCTGACCACATATTTTTAATAACCACGGTTAGGACAAGTTTCACAAAAAAAATCGCTTACTACCACGCAGACTGGAAAGACTTCACAAAGACCCCCCAGGGGCAATTTCAGAGGGAGGTAAGCCCTCACAAGTCCTATATCTTAATCTGCTTACCTTGAAGACGTCACCTGCAGTAAGAAATCTCTGTTTCAGAAAGAGATCTAATAAAAAATGGAGACAATACAATAGCAGTGGTATACCACACTCGTGCTCGCTTACATTTTTCAAAAGGGGAAAAGTGTGAGATTTTAAATGTAAAAATTCTGGATTTCTGAAACCGAATAGGTACCCTTCAAATATCATCTTCCATGAAACAACCTGTCTGCAATTGTATTTAACATTCTATTTCTCATTCGTGTCACCTCTGCAACATTTAAATCTGTATGGGTCTACAGCCCATTCTAAATGTCCAATTGCAAATGTCAGACTGGCCAGCCCTGTTCTCCAGCCTTGTTTCGGTTCTGCCACGTACAACTGTTGTCGAGTGATACTGGTGGAGCTCTACAGCAGGAAGGGTCTTGTCTAATCCTCGTCTCATCCTCAGCTCTTTCTGCATCCGAACAGATTCCCTGAATGATTATTATCAAAAGAGATTCCAGTGAACTGTGAACAAACATAACATCAGGCAGAGCCTTCGGTGTGTAAAAAGCACCAGTTAATTGGGAATACGACGGCTCCATTGGCACTGTCCTTGTTCCCAATTTATCTTTGAATGCTAATAATAAGAACCCCTGTTTTTACAATAGTTTATATACATTGCAATTGTGAATTGCTTACATGAATTGATCTTTGTTTTTGTTACTAATAGCCATCCATTTTGTGACCAATACGAT